AGGCAGTTGTCCTCCTACCCTACCGAGTGAACCTTCCCCACCACTCTTCTATCCATTGGAATCGGACTCTCCTTCTCCATCGCTGTGGCAGCATCGTCCTCCACTCGGATGTGTTCGTTGATCCACTGCATCAAAGATTCCATAGTAGTGGGCTGGTGCATCGTAAGCGAATCTCGCAGCCTATGTCCAACTGGGAGACCCCGCTTGTATTGGGTGATCGCCAGATTAGTGGGGCAGTCGAGGATCTTGTTGTAAGTTTCCCAGTACCTAGCATTGTATGCCTTCAAAGAACCTCCAGATTCCACCTTAATGCCTAGGAGATGGTCGACCTCCTTTGGTGTTTGAGTGTTGGTTTTGAATTTGGTGATGAAGGCCTCCGTTAGTTGCTGCCATCCCTCGATGCTCCCCTCCGGAAGCCTTTCGAACCATTTCAAGCCCAGTTCTCCTAGGCTTGCTGGGAATATAAGGCACATTTAGGCGTCATTACGCTGGTGTCCAGCCATTACTTGCCGGTAATGACTCACGTGCATGTACGGATCCGTCTTGCTGTCGTACAACATGAACTTAGGCTGGTGGAATCCGGCAGGGAGTGGTATACTCTCAATTTCTGGGGACAGCGGCGTAGCTGTAAGTCTTGCTAGCTCTTTGTCCACAAGCGCTAGGGCCGCCACTCTGGGTGCTGGCATTGCCACTTCCTCACTACAACGAATTTGGGAGCCTAGCCTCTACAATGCCGGCAATCTCTGGGTCTCCCTACGGCGAGCCCTCTCCTCCAACACATCCCTCAAGTCTCCGGAGCCAGTAGAAAAAGAGTATCGCGATGTCGACGATGGACGTGAAGGACGGTAGGTGCTGTCGCGAGTGTAAGATTTGCCCACTTGTGGGTCGGAGTCCCCGACCACATAACTTCTGGTGATGGAAAGGGTGGGCATCCTTTCTTGGCGGCAATTGCCAGAATGAGGGGACGGGGTGCACTCATAGTGGTTGCCCTCTCCAGCAACACCCTTCCCCTTGATCTGGCACTTCAACGCCTCCATTTCAGCCGCCATCTTGCGAATGAGGGTATCCTGATCCTTGAGTTTGTTCTCTAGGCGCTATGCATGTGACTCCCCCCACCGTCGACGGCCCTCTAGACTCTTCGAACGATCAGTACTCCTTGTGCGTTTGTCTCGCACACCTCTCGAAGAGGTCTCTAGGCCCGCCATGGCTGGAATAGCAGGGGGCCTTCTCTCCATCGAACAAACTCTGGTGTGACACCATCGACGACGAACAGTGGAGTTTCGTCGTTGTTAGCCATGGAAACAGTCGAAAAAACTTGAAGAGCAAGGTTTGTCTGCCAAGTTTTCCCACAGACGGCGCCAATTGTACAGGGGCTAAATATCATTTGTTCTCCGTACTCCTTGAACTCAAGCTTTACGTAACGTCGTCTCACCTGAAAACAGAAAGATGGTGAGCTGCCCGGCGATGTGTTGCCGGATAGACCCTCCGATGGTCAAGTTAACACAATTGAAGAAGAAGAGAGTACTCTTAGAGAGAGAATTTAGAATTGCTTTGGTTACTTACCTCCAACGTCCCCCCTTCCTCCTTTTTCTAAGCTGGCCATGCAGCCTTAGGGATTGTGGACGCACTACCTCTGCTGTCCTTCCCTAGACAGGTGGCAGTGCTCCCCTCTACCTACCTTACGCATGTAAAGGCCAAAACCCCCAAACAGCATGTGTGGAACTGCCAAACGGTATTGACGCATGCCAGGAGTGGATTTTCCCTCCATCACACCATTGGTCCAGATGGCACACTCAACCAAGATACCATGACCGACCTATCCCTTGGAAAGAAACACCACCATGACCGGGACGGCCGAACTGTAAGAAGTCGGTACATCCGAACTGACTGACCGTAAGGCGTGCCGGCCTTCGTCCCAGTCTAAATTCATGCCGGGCTGTGCTTGGCTCGGTCTAGACGTACCACTACGGATCCAACCAAATACCTAGCCGAATCACAGCTCGGTCGGGCACATGCATGACTCCACGCTTCGGTCGACAAATCTAGCTCGGCCCGGCGTGATGGGCTAGGGAACCGCTCCCATTTAGTTCGGTCAGACATAGTCCGATTCTCGCAAGGTCCGTCATAACTCGCATTACTGTAGCTCGGCCATATTTGTCTGGCGCGAATCTCCCTCTCAAAAGCTTAGGGACAATTGAAAGAGAATAAACATAATCAATGTAATCATGTGGGTTTCGATACTGCCACGTGGTATAATTATGGATTATCACATGTATGACAGTTGTCAAATCCTCATCAAACACTGTATTAGTGTTTTGTGTTATGAAAAACTCATCAAGAGATGAAATCTTATCGATATAGGAGTCATAAACAATTGGAGATTGTTTGGGATAGAAGTTTTGAAACATTCAAACTACTTGCTAGCCAAATCACTTGATATTATAAATGGGCAACACCCTCATGAGTTGAGGTACACGATTTCTCTATATAAATTTGTTTATTAAATATTTTGATAATATTGGAGGACTGACTTAGGCGTCGTAGGACCCCCGGCTATGGCTTGGGATGTTTTGTCTTGTAGATGGCGATCGCTTGGTAGTTAAAGTCATCTTTTTCGTTAGATCTCTTTGTAATCAAATACGGTATTTTTTGTGTCCGTACAGTGGCCAACTATATTAGGCCTAATTAGTTTATTGGAAATGCTTTCTTATTGGGTATGATAACTAAATTCAAATCTTCTCAATTTTCTTTTTCTTATTTTTATTAAAAATATAAAATAAATAAAAATTGAGCCCTAAACCAAGGTTGACTATGGGCTCATGAGATGGGCCTTTAAACCTGACCGAACGGGCCAAAAGTTGCAGCCTAATTTTTTAGTTTCAACATTTTTAAGTCTTCATGATAAGGGCAGAACTGATTAAAAAGTCTTATTATCAAGATAGGTGTACTAATAAATTCTTTCGACATTTTAGTGTATTAAAAAGTCAGGTTCGCTTTGTAATAACAAATTACAAAGCGGTTCTTTTTTAGCGGCATTTTTTTATAAAAATGTGTCACTAATTATTAGTTTTAGCAATTGTTAAAAAATTCGTCAAAAAAAAAAACTCATTGTTCATTTTTAGCAATATTTGAAAAATTTGTCACAAAAAAATGTCACTAATTCTCATTGTTTAGCGACAAAATTTCAAAATTATAATAGAAAAACATTACCAATTGTCAACTTTTAGCGACAATTTTATAAAATTGTCACCACAAAAATCAATAATGCTTGTGAGACTTTTTTTTTATCTAATCTATTCAAACACTTGTAGGACTTAATGGTGCCCAAGTCATTACAATAAGACATGTGAGTAATTAACTCATAATAAGGGTGATATTACTTAAGCCAAAAAATTATACCAACTTTTCAAATCCTATTGTGAAATTTATTAGAAAATCTAATACAATTTTCTCATATATATTCTCTAATTATCAACTAATATCTGATTTACATATTATTAAGTTTAGAAAATAACTACTCCATACATCTCAAAATATTAGTTCCTTTTGGAAAATTTAATTTTTTTGGTAGTAAAATTATTACACTTAAAAAATATTAACTTTTCAAAACTACCATTTGGTATTACAATTATTACACTTCAAAAATATTAATATTAATAAATTTTAGTACTTGATTTTTTAAAGTAAATTAATATTTTGAGATAATGAAAAATAAAATAAGAGACTAATGCTTTTGGGATGAATGACGTATTAAAAATGTATTTGTTCATAATAATAATGGAGTTTAACAAGCACATCTATATGGAATTGTAATCATTTTCATTACATATTTGTAATGGAGAAATTCTATTAAATCATTCAATAATGAGTGTAATAAATTTTTTTAAATTTAAATTTTTATTCCATTCGTTCTAAAATATTAGGCCCTTATTCTATTTTTCATTGTCTCAAAATATTAGTCTCTTTTCAAAAATTAAGACCAAAGTAACATCAATTTTCAATTTTACCCTTCTTTAAATTCACTAATATTAATATACACAAAAAAAATATAATTATGATAATTAATATTTTTTCAAAAAAAAAATTGTAGTATTCTTATTTTAAATCAAATGATAATTTTGAGAAATTAATATTTAATTATACTACTAAAAAAAATTTAATTTTTCAAAAAAATCAATATTTTAAGAGAGAGAAAGCATTAATTTACATTCCTATAAAATAGTAGTATAATAATTATACTACTAAAAAAAATTTAATTTTTCAAAAAAATCAATATTTTAAGGGAGAGAAAGCATTAATTTACATTCCTATAAAATAGTCATTACAATCTTTCCATTCCATTGAGATAGTACCGCACTTAGCCTTTGTTTGACAGGTGGGTTTGCGAGTTTTTTTTTTTTTTGTTTTACAGTTATTTTAACCTAAAAAGATAAAAAAAAAGATAAAATATCAATTCAAATTATAGTTATTTTATTTTTTTCTTTACATAAGTCAATAAAATTTAAAAAAAAAAAAAAACACATTCCAAACAAAACTTTTTAATCACAAACTAAAATAATTAAAAAGAGCTAAAAAATTAAAAAATCAACTCACATCCCAAACGAAGTGTTAATCTTTGGGTAAATTACAAATACACTCCCTAAAGTTTGCTTAAAATACAGATTGCTTCCTGTAGTTTAAAAAATTACAAATATCTCCCTATCATAATTTTTTATTTAACATAATTAATTAAAAAAGTAAAATTTCTAACTATTCACCTATACAATAATAAAATTATCTAAATTATTAATTGAAATAAAATTTTAATATTATTAAAAATTATTAATTAACTTGATAATTTATCAATAAAATAACTTATTTTTATAAAATTAAAAATCTTGGAGAATATAATATAATTTCTAAAATTCCGAATAATTTATAATTTAAGTAAATTGAAGGACGTGTTTGTAATTTATCCGTTAATTCTTCTCATTGCCAACCAAATTAACCATCATCGTGAAAAGGAACCAAACTACCAACACACACACACACACCTTCACACTATATATACACATAGTCACACAACGTTTACATCCTTCGGTGGAGATCGCCGGAGAACGCGTCGACGGCGAGTCTGTGCTAGGGTTCCGGCGACTTAAGGTTTGAATGGTGTCGGAGGATGTTGTAGTAGGGGAGAGGAGCGAGACGGCTGTGTCGACGATCGTCATGGCTCCCACTCACACTTTATTCAGCGTCTGCAAGTCTCTTTTCGCCGGCGGAGTTGCCGGAGGAGTGTAAGTGTTCATTCATTCATACTCTCCTTTCGTTTTTCTTTTTTTTTTTCTGTTTTTTTTTCCCGATTTTGATTTCATTTCGATTGTTATTGTTGATCTATGCAATGTATAGAATAGGAATAAAATTTTGCAGTACATGGTACATATGCGTTATATTGATAATTAGGTGTTGTCAAAATGTGATATTTGAACTGTGATTGTGTTTTGTTTAAACATACCAACGTTTTCAGTTGTTTCTATCCTCATTGTCTTGGCTCTATTGCAAGCATTATATCAAACATCTTGAAGACGCAAGTTACTTCGCCTTAACTTTGTCTACGGTAAATAAGCAGCGTTAAGCCTTTGTGAAACACCACTTTCATATCCACATGTCTTATTTTCCACTATATTTGCGCCATTATGGATTAATTTATTTGTTGCATTTTTATGTATTAAAAGTATAACTGAGACAAGCTTTATTGTTGGTTTTTAGAATTTTAATAAAAATGAAGATTTGGTTTGGGAATTTAGAATAGGAGCTATATATGATTGTTATAATATACACCTTTTCGGCTTTGTGTTTTCACTTTTCATGAAATACTGGAAGCACAACTTAAGAGAGTTGACATAGTTTTAGGTCATGCTGGAAACATTTTATTTGTTTGTAAGGGTGGAATGTCCAAACTTTGACCACTTGTCTAAGTTTCAGTGATACCTTCAAGTCAGTTGCCCCTTCATGAATTGGTGTGCCTAAAAACTGGGGAATGTATGAATGTTACCAGATTCTATAGTGGTCAATTCTTCTAGGAACTTAACTTTTCTTTTTCCCTTAGCTCTTTGCTAGCCCTTGCAGTTGACTGCAATCTACTAGGTTCAGGACTGAGAACATTGTTACATTGTCTAGAATTTATGTTTCTGAAGCACCCTCAAAACCTGTGCATTTCTTTTGGGTATAATAGGGAAAAAATTAGTTGAAATGTAAGGAAGAACTGAGCAACCTTTGGCATTGATGTGATTAACTTAAACGGAGAAGTTTTTTTTTTTTTTTTTTTGGAGCCAGAAACCTTTTATTTTTCTTCTCTCCAAGGAAGGGGGAAAACAATGTTTATAGACACTACTATAGACCAACAAATTAATCTTACATTCTCTGGCATAAGCAATCATTTTTGGCCTTGCGAAAAGCAGTGGTAGACCTAGAAATTGTCCAAACGGGGGGCATTATTTCAGTTTTTGGAGCCAAAATAAAATTATATAGATTTTCAAGGGTGAAAATGCTGATTTTTATTATAAATACTCAAAATAACATGGGCCAAATGGGGTTCTTTTGAAGTTTGGAAAGCCAAGGTAAAATTATATAGATTTTGGAGAGGCCAAGCTAAAATTACATTCATATTGAAGGGGCCAAAGTAAAACCATATAAATTTTGAAGCGGTCAAAATGCTACTTTTTATTGAAATTACTTAAAATAGTAGAGATCTAATTATAATTTTGTAAAGTTTGGGCGGTCCTGGCCACCACCAGCCCCCCTTGTGTCTGCCAATGCCAAAAAGCATAGCCTGTTGTCTGTGGTAATGTTATCTTTGCTTCACATACTTGAACTTGATGTCAAAATTATCACACAGAACTGTCTCTATATCATTGTCAAGCTCTAGTGATTATTGTACTGCCTACAGAGTAATTTTGTTGATAAAAATTGCATAAAGGGGAAAACTTTCTCCTAGTATTTTCTTTACACTGAATGTATCCCTATGTACTTCATTTTTCAGGTCACGTACTGCTGTTGCTCCATTAGAACGGTTAAAGATTTTGCTACAGGTAGAGTAGAACTTTTATATCGAGCTGACTTCTTTTAGCATGTTTAGAATTTTTGTATGACCTTTGCATTTGCGGCATGATGCATATGCATTGTTCCCCTTGTTGAATTGCTTTGTTTTATAAAATGTTTTTGTAATGGTTCCTACCTGAGTAAGTTTGTCAATGCACATGCTTTTCCAGTGGTGGTATCAAAGAGCATGCATGAGTTGTCTCTGTAATGCATGTGTTTTTTTTTTTATTGTCTCTCTCCTTTAGTAGGTAGGGTGTAGAGCTAGGTTCTTCAATATTGTGTTTCAATTTTCCTCAACGTTAATGTTGCTTATAGTCACCAAAACTTATAGGGAAGGAAATGAAAATTTGCAATCTTGCTGTAATATGTTGGGCTCGAGGCCGTTCGGCAATATGTTGTTCCTAACTTTTAGGGGCGGGTTTTGGGTCATGACACTTGCAATAGCCACTTATATCTTATTTCTTCCTTTCCTTTCCTCTCCTATAGCTTTTGGACTAGAAGCAACATTAAGGAATCCTAATTCTTCCTAACTTCCTTATGTTGTTTTGTGAGCAGTATGTCACTTCAACTGCAAAAAAAATAAATAAATAAATAAAAATGATTAAATTTGAAGTACTTCATTCTGATGAAATTCTGGGTTTAATGAATCAAATTAAAAATTAAACAAAACACTTATGGTCTGAAAATTGCCTATACGGATGACCATGCGTTTATATTAACTTTGACTGTTGTCACACTGAGAGCAATATGGAATCAAAATGCATTTTATTTTATTCTTTACATGTCTCTGTAAAACTTGCATTATCGAAGATTATTTTGTCTAACACAAAAAGTTCTATGACGTGTAAATCAAAAACCCAAGGTCTAAGTTTGAGAGTTTAGTTCCATGAGATTCAACTATAAGAATATCAAAAATCAATTTTATCTCTTAATGTCTGACACCTTCTTGAGGATTTATCATTGAACCAATGACAAATGAAGCAAATTCATAGTGATTATTATTGTTCCATCACATCCTTAAGACATTACCTATCATCAGTTTTTCGGCATGTTAACATGCTGAGCATTCTATTTGCAGAAATATTCTAGGATAGATAGTTTAATCTCTGTTGTTTGTCATTGTCTTATTTTATTTTTGTACTCTGCATGGAAAAAACATTATGCGTTTATCTGGTCTTGAAAAATGCAGGTTCAAAATCCCCATAGTATAAAATACAATGGAACAGTTCAGAGCTTGAAATATATTTGGAGAACTGAGGGTCTCCGAGGATTATTTAAAGGCAATGGCACGAATTGTGCTCGCATTGTCCCAAATTCAGCAGTCAAGTTCTTTAGCTATGAGGAAGCATCTAAGTATGCTACAGTCGTACCTTTTCTTCTACTTTTAATGTTTTGTTTATTTCTGTTGCTGGTATTATTTAGAATGTGATGGCTTGCACATTATGCTTTATTGTCAATGTTGGCAGTGGCACCAAAAAAAAGAAATAATAATCAGGAACTATGCTGAAGGTTTGGAAATGTAGAGAAATTTTTTAAAGAAACTATTGCAGGCTTAAAAAACACATAGGGATCTCAGAGAAGAACAGTCTACATGGGAAATAAGTTACAACAATTGGGAATGATATTTTCTTGCTAGAAATTCAACCAGCTAACTTAAATTAAACAATGTAACAAAAACGTACATGTGACTGCCTGTGGAAGTTTGTCAAAATTTATATTAATATCTATTAATTGTAAATAGAGACTGCTCATGTGTCAATTGCTGTTCTTTCTTTCTTTCGTTTTTATTTATTTATTTATTTCCTTTTTTTTTTTTTGGTTGATAAATAAATCTCTTCATAAATTTGCATGCCAACGCATTGGGCCTAATGTTGTGATCATTTAATGAAAGAGAAAGAGTACGCAGAGTGAGAATACGTAGTTAAAATAGCAATAACAGATATTACTTTGCTAGAAAATTTTGCCACCTAAACAAAGATTTAATAAATGTAACAAAAAATGCATGCTGCCTGCAGGAAATTGCCTTGCCAACACTTTTTATTTTTGATAAATTTTGTCAACGCTTTTAACTGCTATTTACTTAAATAGAAGTTACTTGCACATCAAATGCTTTTTCTTTCCTGATTTGGGTATAAAAAAATCCTAGAATCAAATGCATGCTCATGCACACATCTTCCATCATCACAATTCTATGAAAGGGAAACAATGCATAGGGGAGGAACACTCTTTAGATTGGAGACCTAGTTACAAACTTTGGTATGATGATATCCTATTCTGTAGAGTTGCTTTGTTGAGAACTTCTCCTTATGTCAACTTTCTCAATGTCGCATTTTTCAAAGAATGACACTAGTTATCAAATGATTGGTTAGGTTGATTGAATAAGGGCTCTTTCTTTTTTCCAAACATCTATCTATTCACCTTTGACCGTTCAGTCAAAAACATTACATATCTTTTGAAGCATTGCATACCTTTTGAAGTCTTTAATGCACCTAATATTTGCATTTGATTATCATAGTATTTTCTTCCTTTTGCTCACTGTTTGACATCAAACAGGGGAATTTTGGGGCTTTATCGGCATCAAACTGGAAAGGGTATGACCCTCTACTATTTTCTTTTTTTCATGTTGTTCTATTACTGATGGGCATTGGTAGCATTAAATTGCAGAATATATGAATTTTAGTATAATTATGAGTTATGGTTTCAATAGGATTTTATTTTTGTCTGTAGTTAGTTTTTGTTAGAATTTCCCATCTTTACCTTCACCTACTCCACTACACACTCCACTTCACCTACCTCCACTTCACCACACACTCCACTTCACCTAACCCACTATCACCTCCACTACACCCACCACTACCACATTTTCTTCTATATATAGATTGTATAGGAATTGTAAACAACATCTTGTAATAACATCAATAACAATCAATATTACATAAATTTCAACATGGTATCAGAGCAAGTTTAGAATCTAATATTTTCGCTTCCCCGGCGGGCGGCAACCTCACCTTAGCCGTCCGCCGGACCTCAGCCTATTCTGCTGTCATCTCTATCAATACATAAATATACATACCTACATAGATACAAACTTGTAATCGAATCAATCGATCGATCTCTCTCTCTCTCTATACAGTCAGTTCTGTCGCAGAGAGGAGCGAAGAAGAATAAGAACAATGGAAGCTGCGAATACAGAGAAGGCAATAGCGCATGAAATTGGAGGAATCCAAAATGATACATTTCGTTTTGGACTCCACAGTGTCAAGAGCGACGTCGTTGGATCTCACCCCCTTCAATCTGCTTATCAATCTACGAAGGAGGTGCAGGAACAGATGAAAAGGAGAATTCTTTTGAACACGTACGGGTCGGCACTTCCGTTGAAGATGGACCTCGATCGCCAAATGCTTTCGAGATTCCAAAGGCTTCCAGGTCCAATACCATCTTCCATGCTAGGTTTGGAGGCACTGACTGGAAGTTTGGATGGCTTTGGTTTTGAAGATTACCTCAGTGACCCACAGCAAACCAGGGTGAGAGAAAGCCATCAAATTTGCCAAGGAGGGATGGCACATGCTCGGACAGCTTTTGGGGAGAGAGAAATATATTATATAACATTAGTGAGAGAAAGCCATCAAATTTGTCAAGGAGGGATGGCACATGCTCGGACAGCTTTTGGGGAGAGAGAAATATATTATATAACATTTTCTATTTAAAAATATTCTCCACCCAAAACCATCATTACATTTTCCATCACCCAAACCCTCTTTATCTGATATATATATATATATATATATAGTGTACCGCTTTGGAAAATAAATTCGTGGGTGCCATGTTGAATACAATGGAGGGCGAATTATACTAACAGTCTCTATAGTTTAGGTTTTGTGTTACTTTGGTTATTGAGTTTTTAATTGTGACACATTTGACTCTGAACGACGAAAGTTCCACCAGGAAGACAAATACAGAACTTGGAGCTTCAGCAATGGCGGATTTGAAAGAAAGAGTTTTTAGAGAGAGAAGAAAGCAAGTGAAACAAAGCACAAAGTGAAAAGACGAAAGCAAAAATAGTGTCTTTGTTGAAAATGTGAAACGGCGGCAAAATAAGGCATTTATTGCGCCTGGAAAACCGCATGCGTCAGACGGCGCAGACAGATTAAGATGGCTTACGAGCGCGTCACAGGCACGGGCCAGTAAAGATGAAACGTGTGCAGGAAACGGTTGAGAAGTGATGCATGACAGCTCATGCGCGTGGGGAAGTTCATTTGAATTCTTGTTCTTGAAAACAAGACATATCGGCTTGACATAAATGATCTCGGCCGAAGAGTTCTTACGCCAAGGTACTAGAGGACAATACAGATATAGGTTCCATTACCTCAGAAATGCCGAGGTAATAGAACCTAGGGGTAGTTGTGGGGATGTATTTTCTGAATCCAACATGTGGCAAGGTGATGCCGACGTGTCAGCCGAGGTGCCACGTATCCTGGTTGTGACGCTGTGGTTATCTCGGCAAGGCTGAGGTGATCTCCGAAGATATTGGAATCCGAGATAAGCAGATAAGGGACAAGAGTCCTAGAGTAAAGAGAATATTTAGCCAAGATAAGGATAAAACTCTCAGAGAGTTTATCTTTATCTCTTGAGAAATCCAAAGTAAGCACTGAATGGGAGTCCATAGAAGTCAGGCTTCTAGTGAGACTAGGATTGAGTTGGCTATAAAAGAGAGGCACTCCCGTGGGTCTAAGGTACGCAATTTATGTTTTGAGAAATAAGTTTAGCACTTGATTATCTTTGAGAGATATACTGACTTGATCGTCGGAGTGCCCCCGGGTGGAAGAACCACCGCCGGAGCCTTTCTTTCTATTACAGGTTAGCCAG